TGATGAATTCAGGGGAGAGACAAATAAACAGGAAAAAAGGCAAAGAACTCCATGGACACAAAGGATAAAACGATACAAAAAAGCAACACACAAATGGAAAACCCAATCAGATAACAAATATGATGAGGAACTCTATTTAGTTATTAGAAAAATAACATTTAAACAATGAAATGGCCTTCTCCCCCATCAGATGAGCCATAAATTAACTGGTTTGGTTAATGCTAAGTGTTGGCAAACAAGATGTGCAAATGCAGATCCTTGTGAATTTGCACATGGAAGTACAGACTGGCGCAGCTCATTTGAAGAGCTATATGGTTGACTTAGTCAAATTAAGTATTCTTACCTCCATGATTAGGCAATGCCCCCGAGTATTCACCTTTGAGAATTTCCTATGCCAGCCCTACTGAACATTTATAAGATATGTATTGCAGCATTAGTTGTAGAAACTGGGAGTAGGACACAACCTAAGTGTTCACTACTGGGGCAATGGATATGGTAGGCAGATAATGGCCCCCCAAAGATATACACATTCACCTGAGTACAAGTCACTCACCTTGATCCCTCTGATGTGGGAGTTCAGCCTCTCCCATCCATGGCTTCTTTCCTTTTTCCATCCTTAAGATGACTGCTGGGTTGGGAATGTGATACCCTGTTAATGAGAAGGGCTACTTGGTTTGGGTGTAGCTTCTTAGGTTTTAAGAAACTATTCAATGAAGCTTTTCATTGGCTCATAAGAAGGTCAAATGGGCACAAAGTAATACTCAAAGGTCCCCAAGAGGAATGAACAATTCCAGACAAAACAAGGAAAAAAACATGACATAATTCTGATATCCCACTGTGTTCTGTAAGGAGGAAGGAAATCTCAATGAGGCCCATCCAAGATTCCCAGTTCAGCTGTGCTCACCCACTGAGAAGAGGTGACTATAGATCTCCAGCATCACATCCTGGTACAGGTGTCTCTGGGCACGGTCCAGTTGCTGCCACTCCTCCCTGCTGAAGTCCACAGTCACATCCTCGAAGGACACTGATCCCTGTGATAACGTACCCCAGCTCACTGTGAATTACTCATCATTGGCAAATGAGGAAGTTACACATAGGAACAAGTATTTAATGATTTCTCACTGTGATGCATCATTTAGGTTTTCCACCAAATACCTATTTGACATTGTATTGTGGGAGATAAAAAAAAAAATTTACACAAATATGCTGCCATCTCTCGTATACTACAATCATTCAGTCACTCTTTTTTCAGAAAAGAAGCCAGAAATGGGTTCTCTGTAATATATTTTTTTTTTGTCCTTTTTTTTTTGAGACTGGCCGCACCGCGCTCAGCCAATGAGTGCCGTGAGCGCACCGGTCATCCCTATATAGGATCCAAACCCACGGCGGGAGCACTACTGCGCTCCCAGCGCCGCACTCTCCCGAGTGCGCCACGGGCTTGGCCCCTCTGTATTATTCTAACCAGGAATAACCAGCATGTTTATTAGGCAAGTACATGCCAGTCTGCAGTTGCACTGGGTCCTGGGGGCTTGACGTAGAATTACATAAGCTTCTATTCTAACCGCAACTCAGAGACTTGAAAAACAAGTAAATACAACACAGAGACTTGAAAAACAGGTAAGTAAACAAGCTCAACTGCGGGGTTAAAAAAGAGACAGGCAGAAATATACACAGAGCACACTGCTGGGAGGGGCAAATTACGGACAAGCAAAAATACCTGGGAGTGGAAGATCATGCTACATAGAGTGGGTGAAGCTTAAACTGGAAGTGAGAAGTTTGACGTAGGATTTGTGAAGGAAACCATTTTCCAGAGAAGAACATGAGTAAAGGTGGAGAGGTAGGAAAATCCACAGTGAATTCAAGCAGCAGCAGATAGCTCTGTGTAAGAGAGGTGACTGTGTGATGTTCGGAAGGTTATCATCCAAGTTCCAAGGAGGTAGGCTGGGATGGATCTGACTGTGTAATGTGTATAAATTTTTTATTGTAATTAATGGATTGTCACATATTTTAAGTGCGGGAAAGACATATGATCATATTTGTAATTCAACAAAATCTTTCCTATAAGAACCAATTTTAGGTTAATTAAAGGGTTGATGGTGTAAACATCTTCATTACAGAAGGATTACAGCTGAAACATGCATCCTGAAGGACAGTATTACAATTTCACCACTTTTACTCATCACCAATGGTTGCTAAAACCATACAGGTCAAAGATTGGGCTTTATAATAGAGAACTGGGCTCACAACACTTGAACCCAATGAGGAATTTTAACATCACAGAGAGAAATGACCAGATATTATGTGCACCTGGTATGATGTAACAGTACATATGTGGTATATGAAATATTCTTGCTAAAAACAATTAAATTAAATTGGAATCTGACCAAGCCTCTAGAGCAGAGCTCTCCAGTGAAAATATAACGTGAGCCACTAATGCGAGCCCCAAATAATTTCAAATTTTCTAGCAGCCATGTTAAGAACAAAACAAAAAAAACAGGCAAAACCTGGTTTAGTAATATAATTTATTTAATCCTACAGATCCAATTTATTATTTCAGTATGTAACCAATATTTAAAAATCATTAGATATTTTACATTCTTTTTTCATATTAATCTTTCAAGAGCCACTGTATATTTTATAGTTCCAGCCCATTCAGTGTAAACCAGCCACATTTTAAGTGCTCAATGGCTATCTGTGGTGAGTGTCCACCATTTTGGACAGAGTAGGTCTAGATTTAAATACCAGCTCACCCAAAAGACAAGGATAAAAGCCTATGTTAAATGACACCATGGGAATGCAATTGAGCCAGATCTAAAATTTGCTTCATTCTAAAGGCCAACCCAATTCTTCAAGAAATGAACAGCATGAATAAAACATGGAGGAAAAATGTTTATAGATTAAAAGAGACTAAAGATACATATCAACTAAGTAGAATGTGTGAACACTGGCTGGATCCTAATATGAAAAATCACGTTTAGATAGTTTGACTGGGTATCACTAATATTAAGAAATAATCTCTATTTTTTAGGTGTGTGAATAATATTTATGGTTTTTGGTTTAGAAACTATAGTTACTCTGCATTAAAATTCTTTACATTGACATATTGGGTATACAAGGGTACTTCAAAAGTTCATGGAAAGATTGTATCATCTTTAAATTCTATTTTTCCACAAACTTTTCAAGGCACCCTCATATCGTAATTTTAATGGTCAATGAATAATTTAATAATTTCTCAGTTGTAATGTCTTATCTGGAAAACATCAGTGGATGATATTTACCATACAAAATTTTCTAACAATTCTAAGAGGATAAAGGATTCTGTTATGGACTGACTGTGTCCCCCACCCCAGATTCATATATTGAAATGCCAAACCCAATGAGATGTATTAGAAAGTGGAGACTTTGGGAAATGTAGCCTTCAAGAATGGGATTAGTGCTTTTATAAGAATTAACAAGAGAGATAATTTCTCTTAGCCATAATAGGATACAACAAGAAGAACTACAAATCAGGAAGAGGGCCCTCACTAGACACTGAATCCGCTTGTGTCTTGATTTTGAACTTCCAAGCCCCCAGAACTGTAAGAAATGAATGTTTGTTGTTTAAGCCACTCAGTCTATGGTAAACTGTTACAGTAGCCTCAACTAAGACAGGCCCTGAGACCAAAAAGTTTCAAAACTGCTGCTCTAATTGTTGAATGTGCAGTTCTCTCCTTTCTCTCACTCATACACACACATACACACACACACACACACACACACACACACGCATCTGTCACAAGAGACTAAATGCTTATAGAATATTTTTTAAAAACAAACAAAAAATCTTGAAAAAATGGAAAAACATATGCTAGTCTCTCTAGGATAATTTTATATTATAAAGATGACAGTTGGTTCTATCTTAAAGTATTAGTTCAAACCACAGAAAAAAATCATCATTTTGTAGGTCAAAAATGGCTCAATATTAGTGATTTAAAGTTGTTTAAGCCAGGACCGGCCCAAATCATCATTTTGTAGGTCAAAAATGGCTCAATATTAGTGATTTAAAGTTGTTTAAGCCAGGGCCGGCCCAGTGGTGCACTGCTACAGTGCGCCGTTTGGGAGCGCAGCGGCGCTCCCGCCGAGGGTTCGGATCCCACATACAGACCGGTTCCCGCTCACTGGCTGAGCGAGGTGTGGGCGCAGCACCGAGGGTTGTGATCCCGTTGCCGGTCCTGGTCTGGTACGGGCACGACACTGAGGGTTGCAATCCGTTGCCGGACACGAAAAAAGACAAAAAGGAAAAAAAAAAAAAGTTGTTTAAGCCAATATAAATTAAATGTCATCAAAATGACAATACCAAGAGAATTTCTGTATAATTTAATGAGCCAATTTTTGTATAAACAATAAGGCAAGAAAAGAGTAAATTTCTGAAAAACAGAAGTAATTTAAGGATTGGTGTCACCAGATATTAATACATATTATAATGTACAATAATTAAAATTATGAAGGCTACGAATGTACAGATCAATAGACCAGAACAGACAGAGAACTGAAGTTCCCCATTGGAACGTAGGTACATGGAAAGGCAGCACTGCAGACAATGAAGAAAAAGGTTGTCCATAAAAGGTGTACAGACAACTGAGTAGGCACTGTGGAGGAGATGAAGTTGGATCCCTAACTAAAGCCCTACACAAAATAGATTCCAGAGAAATCACATATAAAAGAAAACAAAAATGGGACCAGAGAAGAACCAGAAGGAAACCTATAAGGAGGATTTACTTCAACATAAAACGGAGGAATGGGTAAGACATTTGTAAGATGACACCAAACCCAGAAGAAACAAAAAGATTGATAAACTCAAGTGTATAAACAAAAACTCATGGAAAAACACCACAAAAAACTTAAAAAGAAAAATTGGGAAAAAACAGTTGGGCCATAACAGAGAATCAAGGAGCAAATGTCCTTTAAAATACCAAAAACTTAATAGAAAAATAGACAAAGAAAATGAATAGATTGTTTAAAAAAGACAAAAGGATATACATTCCTCACAAACACAGTCACCTATGCTCAACTTCAGCCATAATAGAAGTACAAATTAAACTTGCAATGAGATACTATGTTTCACTTCTCAGATTGGCAACAATCAATATAAGAACCTGCACACATCTACTGGTGAGCAGATGTTGGGTTCATACCTAGGAGTACAATTGCTGGGTCGTAAGGAATACCTTTGGTAGAAAATAGCAAAGTTTTCCAAATTGGCTATACTAATATATACTCTTGCCAGCAGCACAAGAGTTCTTTCTGCTTGCTCCATATCCTCATCCACACTTGGCATTACCAGTGAGGTTAACTTTACACATGCTGGTGGAGGCCTGATGGTTAAATTGGCATTCTCCAGATAACTAACGAAGCTGAGCATCTTCCCAGGTTTACTGGCCTAATGAAGCAAGTCTCTTGGTCACTTTTCTATTGGGTTAAAAAGACTTCCTCAGCATTTTATAGGAGCCTTTTGTTGTTTTGTGTGTAAGAAAAATCTTCCAACTCTGTGGCTTGCCTCTCATTTAAGGAAGTACCTAATATAAAAGTGAGAAAAGTGGTTAACTTTGGAAAGGAAAAGTAGGGATTGGGAGGAGATGAATGGGAGTGGCTAACTAAAATTATAGGTTGAGGAAATCTGTACAAATGAGGAACAAAAGAGAGTGGAAGACTTTGCAAAAAATAACTTTTATGTTTTATTTTAATTTTTGAACTTTGTGTATTTGTGTATTACCTATTCGGAAAATTACATTTCAAAATATCTCAAATATCCTTAGAGAGGTAAGATAGTCCATCCACGAAAAACAAACACATGACATGAAAAGGAATATTCAAATCAAAAAGAAGCTCTTAAAAATAAAATAATAATAAAAACAAACACATGACATGAAAAGGAATATTCAAATCAAAAAGAAGCTCTTAAAAATAAAATAATAATAATAATAATAATAATAATAATAATAACAATTATTAGAAGGGTTAAAAGATAAGGTTGAGAGATTTTTCCCAGAAAGGAGAACAAAAACTAAAGAAACAGAAAATGATAGGAGAGGAGAACCCCTTTTAAATAGAGGGCCAACATCTGAATAATAGGACTCTCAGAAAGAGCAGAAAAGATATGTTGTGGGGGGGTGGACGGAAGGGTAAGGGATGCCTTAGGAAGACAAAAATTATTTCCAGCCTATAGTTTAACCCAGCCAGAGATCAATTTAGTGTGAGGGTAAAATAAGTGTCATTTTCCAACATTTATACTTACGTGTCTATATATACACAGATATGTGTATATATCTTGACTACTATATATGTGTATATATAGTAATGTGTATATATATGTGTATATATATCTTGATTGCTATATATTAAATATGTAAATATATAATTTTTTTTGGCATGGTATTCTCAGATATGCAAAGTCTCATAAGATTTACCAACACACACCCATCTCCAAGGAATTCCTGTGGGATGCACTCCCACAAAAGGAGAGTAACAGTAAACTGTGGAAGAGAAAGCCAATGGATTCAGGAACCAGGGAACTGGATGCTTGGCAGAGGAAAAGAGAATTCCCAGGTGACCATGAAGGGAGCCACCATGGGAAGACTGAGTATCAGGGGCCAAGAGAGCAGCCAGTTCCAACCACATCAAGTCAAAAAAGCAACAGGAAAGGTTTCCTCAAGGAGATGGAACTGAAAGCCTCAACTATTGAGCAAATTTCCTGGTTTTAATACCAGGCTGGGTGCTTGCTGATGATGTACACTTGGGCCAGTTATTTCATTCTGTGCCTTAGTCTTCTATTCTGTAAAATGGAAATAATAGCAGCATCACAGAGTTATGAGGATTAGAAATGCACCTGGGACATAGTAGGCTATAAATGAGGGTCTACAGTTACTGCTACTATTATTATTACTTAGTAATAAATTCAATTTATGAAAAGGATATTTACACACTTGAGGAAAACTGTAATACGTTAATAAGTATATGAATAAGTAAATAAATAGCTAATCCATAAAATGGTGCACGCCAGGGAGAAACAAAAAGTTGTGTAGGAGAAGAAAAGCCATCACAGTATATACAGGCAGCTGTGAATACAATTCCCAGTCATAACACTGAACAAGGAATATTGAGCTGATCAGAATTTGACCCAGTTCTTAGAAAAATGGGAATAGAAAGCATGCATGTTAGTGCTTAGGGTGGGAGTATGTGAAAGTAGGCTAAATCTAATCTTTTAGTGACATGCTTCTTAATTAATATGTTGTTAATTAACAACCCAAGAGTCAATAATATGTGCATGTTATTAAAAAATTAGGAGGTAGGGCCGGCCCGGTGGCGCACTGCTACAGTGCGCCGCTTGAGAGCGTGGCGGCGCTCCCGCGGAGGGTTCGGATCCCACATACAGACTGGCCGCTCACTGGCTGAGCGAGGTGCAGGTGCAACACCAAGGGTTGCGATCCCGTTGCCGGTCCCGGTCCGGTGCGGGCGCAACACTGAGGGTTGCGATCCGTTGCCGGTCACGAAAAAAGACAAAAAGGAAAAAAAAAAAAATTAGGAGGTAAATCCCAAAATGTTTAGCTCTTTAAAATGTAAAAGGTGACTGCATCTGAGGAACTGGAATTTGGGGAAAAAGATGGCAAGAAATGGCTCTCTTTAGTTACAAGCTTCAAATACCATTTGACCCTCTTCTTTATGTTTGAATAAAACCTACTTGCAAAGGACAAAGAAGCAAAAAACATTGACAAACACATGCAGCAAGGACAATAGATTATTAATATATAAGAACTCTTTAAAAATCCAGAGGCTAAGACAAACCAAAATATAGATCAAAGGACAAGAAAAGGTAATTCACTAAAGAAATCTGACCAATAAAATTATGAAAAAAATTATTCTGTTTATAAACAAAGTAATGCAAATTAAAACAATGATATACTACTTTTTTTCATCAATTTAACATAAAAATTACAAAATGAAAACATACAGTATTGTCCAGAGTAGAGTGAAATATGCACCACAAAGGGAAAACAATATGAATGGTGCTGGAAAATCTGCATGAACTCAGAAAATGATGGAAAATCTGAATTAACAAAAGTGGTGTTGATTCAAATGGCAAAAGGAAAATCAGGTCAAGCAGATAAGTATTTTCATTATTAAAAAAGGAAATGAGCTTATATCGAGCAACACGTGTCTATTAACACTTAACTTGAAAATGCTTCTGAATGTGCTCACAATATGACCAATATCAATGTGAATGAAAGAGAATGTTCTACATTTATAATATTGTCAAAAAACAAAGATTTAGACAATTTTATGTTTCAAATTTGTGTGTTTTAAATTTTCTTTTTAAGAATGACTTTTAAATATTAAATATTTTGGATATTACCTTTCCAGTTTTAAAAAGATTTCTATTTGCAGTTTCTTTCGTGTTAATGTTCCCTTCTATTATCAAATGTCTATCATCAGGCTGAGATGATTTTAACATATTATCGAAATATCTTCTCACAATATATTGATTCATAATGATAATAAAACACTCATTTGTTGTACTTTATTTTTTAACAGAACATCTATGTAACTTTGAGTATAAACCTATCACAGAATATTGATGCATTGTTTGTTAATATAGTCACTCATTATTTAATGACATGCAAATAAAGAGTCATGAAATATACAGAATAATTTAGGATTTCAGGAAATCTTGACTGTACCCAAGGATTCTGATTTTTCATTACCAAATCCCAAATATTTATATCTGTGGGCAATCTGGAAACACTATTTTTCATCTTTTAAAACAAGAAAAACTACATGGTTCTTAAAAGCCTATTCTCCCTCTACTTCCCTGTGTTCTATAAACTACAAAGGAAGGTGATTTTCCACACCTTATGAGAACAAAGGAAAAATGAGCCAGTCTCCATAGACCAGGTAAGGAGGAGTCTGGTGGGGAACAGCTGAGAATCTACAAAGACCCTGTGGAGGATGAAAGAGCTGAACCAGTGCTGAGCAGGAAGGAGTTGTTAGCATTTCTCTGCCTGTGACTGGGGCTTCTCATACAGACCAGGGACTACATTTTCTTCTTCCTTTGCCCCTGCCAACCCTCTACTCTAACACATCCTCCTTCATCAGCCAATTCATGGTTTCCTCTAGAACACAAATGGCCTGTGGATGTAGGGACTTCAGCCCCCTGCGGTCCTCTCTTGCAGGAGGATCAAGACCATCTCAGGAACAGGAGGTCCAGAATCGGCCGCTTCCCGTGTCTGCTCTCAAGTTCTGGAGAACCATCCCCAGGGCTGCTCCTACTTACCTCACATGATTCGTCCTGCTCCTCTGGACCCAGGACTTGGGGCCTCTGGGATAAATTCACATCAGTAGGCATGTCCCCTCTGGGTTTCTACTCTCAGTCTCTCTTGCTGACAACTCCACTTTTCCCAGGAGCTGGAGGCTGGGTGGGTGTCTGGAAGCTCCAACCAGAGCCACCAGAAAGAGGAGGGCTGGGCTATGAGGGGAGATCCTGCAGCCTCAAAGATGCAGCCTGACCCAGGGCTCCAGAGATACCAGGAATCCCTGGAAAGGCAACCACCACATGGTTACTCATCCAACATTTGCTCCACAGATATTTCCTGAGGACTCTTAAGTAAAGGTCACTGTGTTAAACACTGCAGAGTAGACAAAGTTTAGAAAATCCAACTCTAATTATTAGGCTGAGTTAGGAAAAAAAAAAAAAAAAAACATGAGTTTGGACTAAACTTAATGAAGGATTCATTGAGCTCTGCCACCTTTTAAGTGTGAAAATATAAAGACATTATTTTAGTTGTAGTTTCCAAAATGAGGATACAGGAATTTATCATAGGCTGTGGGAACTTTATGCAAGATGAGGCTTATCAAGCCCTTAGCACCTGCCTGTCATGTGGTAAATATGCATAAAAATCAGCAAGTTGTCAATTTAATTTTTATCTAATTTTCACACAACCCTGTCATCTAAATATCATGAACATTAGTATCCTCATTTTGTGGATGAGGAAAATGAAGCTGCATGTTGTTACATAATCTGCCTTAAGGTCACTCAGTCTGCAAATAGAAGAACATGGAATCAGTTCCACAGCTGCCTTATTCTAAACTGCACACTATCCCCAGCATCTCATGTGGCTCCTTACGTGGCCAGCTTCCAGAAACACCATTTCAGCTTCCTTTTGTTTTTAGGAAGCTCAGACTGAGAGTTGGCCGTGTCCAGTGTGCCTCTTCCGACAAAGATAAAACTTAAAATTACTGAAACCAACCCCCACCTTGACCCCAAAAACCTACAGACATGCTCCAAGACCTCCAATCGCTGACCATTTCTTGCCTGTCCACAATGAGTTGCCCCATCACACCTGCATGCTGTCATTGACAGCACTGACATTCATGAAGTTTAAACATGCCTCCCAGTCACTGACATGGTCCAGACTCCTAAAATTATTACTACTCTAATAGCCAGTAAATGTTTCCCTGGGAGCGTGGTTTACTAATTTCCACAGGACCCCAAATAACTCCCAAGATTGGGGTCCAAATAACATAACCCAATAAGAAACCACCATCAATCTGCTCAACTGCCAATCACTGATCCTTACTGCGCATACAGGGACCCAAGGAGAGGCCAACACTGACCCAACGATCCATCCCCGAAGGACCCCAATGTTCATTGCCCAGAAAGCCATACGATCACCCTCCCAAACCACCATCCCCGATCCCCGAGGCCTGCAGTCAGCTGGCTCCCACATGCCGCCCTTAACACTGCACCCTACTGATTCCTGTCGGTCGCCAGTCCCTGGCCCCCTGCGTGTGCTACAAAGCACCTCCAAAGCCCTCCGACCCCTGAGGCTTCCAGCTCCCAATCACTGACTCATCCAACCCCCCGAGCAGTGAAGCACTTCCCTGAACGTCCTCCATTGCCACCTATTGGGACGCTCTTAAGGTGGATGTTCACTTTCTGCAAATGAACAAGTTTCATGGGCCGACAATATAAAATCTGATATTAAAGCACACTTGGAATTTAAGTTACAAAAATATTTACATGCACACAGAAAATACACAAGAGTGAAAATTAACGAGCCAGTTATTCAGCTTAAACTGGAAAGCCTCACTTACCCACAGCACCCATCACGCAGAACCCCATCAACTCACTCACGCCAGAAGGAACTCCCTGTCACTCAGCCAAAATCCCACTCCCTAGGCCAGCCCGCCATCGCTCACCTCGCAGACCCACCTTCACTTACCTCAGACACCCTCTCATTACTCAACTCACAACCCCCTCATCACTTATCCCAAGCCGACCTCCCCTCACTGACCCCACAGAATCCCAAGTTTTAATACTCCAAATCACCTCGGCGTCCCTCTAGGGATAGAAGGGTTAGTTCCACCTGACAAGCGAAATCGCCGCTCTAGGCCACTTCCGGTTTGGCTTTGTTTCCCGTTAGGATTTCATTGGCGAGTGTTGAGCTGTGCGCATGCTCGCTAACAATTATGAAGCTGCGCTCTGCCAGTCGTTAGCATGGCGTGTAACAGCGACTCTCCACTCCGACGATTATTTTCCTTCAGAAACTTCATCAGGAGGACGACATGGCCGCGCCCATGTGGACTATGATATTGGAGGCTGCCATCTTCAAAGAACTTTCATTCCGTACAGGCAGGGAAGGCAAATTGAATGTCACAGAGTAAGTCTTGGGACTGTCCATTTATTCAATAATTATATATATATTTCTAATTATATATATATTTCTAATTATATATATATAATTATATATATATTTCTAATTATATATATATTTCTAGGAGAAACTGGCATTGCATATTATTTTTTCTTTAAACGTTCAATGCACAAATTTAATTTTCTCTCAAACAAGGGGATAAGGTGGACCCAGCAACTCTCACATACTATAGCACAATGAAGAAATAGTACTTTCAGAGAATTATCTTTAGGTGAAAAAATTTAAATTGTCAGAGGAAAAAATATTCTATACATAAACATACACATGAAAAACCTAAAAAAAACCAAGCCGTAACAAGAGGACCTACAACTGAAACAAAATTTGAGAAATGCTAAAAAGCATTGCTTTCTATAATCTCTTCAAGTAATTATAGGAGCAAAGATTTCTGTATCAGAGTGTAAAGGCTAAAACACCACCAAAATTTTATAAACAGCCTTCAGTGTTATGGTGCTAATTTCCTTGGCATATTAATTTTTTGGCTTATTTCCTTTTTCTTTCTCAAATTCAGCCATCTGATTAAATATATTGAACAAATTTTGAGGTAAAGTTTTTAACTCTGCTTTCTGATTGCTCTTTGCTATTTAGTCTATCTTCTTCTGGAAGCTCTATTTTGATATCCTCCTCGTAACTATCCTCTAGGAGAAATCATATTCTCCTAGATTTGTATTTAGTCTATATATTTGCTCATGTCTGCTGAAATGGCATGATCCAGAATAAGTTTTTTTTTTTTTTCACCCGATTTCCAAGAGTAGCCTGAGCTCGCTGGTCAAGCGGAATACCTCACGGAGCCTGGCTCTCACTTCTGTAATGCTCTCTTCTTCCCTCTGTGTCCTTTTCAAATCTCCTATAACCATAAATTTTTATCTTGTTCTCTGATTCCTAGAGAAGGAATCTGAGGAATTTCTTCTACTGGAAAAATGTCTTTCTGATTTACATGGCTTTCCCATTTTGCTACTGTTACCGGCAGCAGGCTCAGCTTGCCGTCTGTCACTAAACAAGTGACCTGAAGGTCCAAAACTTGGTGCAAGGATTGGAAGCTTTATTCAGATAACTGGCATCTGGGGATGGTGACCAGGCTAAGGTCCTCCTGCCTTCTGATGCCTGTTCTGGGGTTTATAAATGAGAAGAGGTGGGAAAATTGGGTAAGGGTTTTGTCCTGCAGGCAAAGGGGGAGGCTGATCACCTGCTCAGCAGAGTGTCGAGTGAGATATCAGGGTCCCTTGATGGACTGGGTGCTTTGGTGTCATGGAGTCTGCATTTGGTGGACTGGTCTGCTTCAAACCCAAGGGTTAAAAAAAAAACCTTGTTATTTCAAGATCTGAGTCCTTATCTCTTAGGGAGAGCTCAAAGACAATAACCTCAATCAAGCAACACTGGAACATGAAAATACCTGACTCCTGCCTCTAACTAATGTGGATGCAATTTTCCTTTAAGCAAGAAGTTGAGTTAATAATCAGCTAGGGTGATTTCCCTTTCTATTGGAATTCCTTTGCAGTTGATTAGGAAAGGTAAGAAAAACAAGAAAATTTAGTTTCAATTCTTAACCGTAGGTGCACAACATCTAAAGTAAATCAACATAAGAGGGTGTAATGGGATATAAACAGAAACAAATTTTTGAGAAGGATCCTTTTGGGCCGTGATTTCATCCCTGGGCAGTTTCAGCCATATGGTCAGTTTCTCAACTCTTCTGCTAACCTCAAGGAGTTGATGATTATCAGTTCCTAAATTAATGGCTAACTGAAATTTTCTTTCAGTTAAAGATGGCCATTTTCTTTTTTTTTTTTTCCTTTTTGTCTTTTTTCGTGACCGGTAACAGGATCGCAACCCTCGGTGTCGCACCCGTACCATGCTCAGCCAGTGAGCAGACCGGTCTCTATATGGGATCCAAACCCTCGGCGGGAGCGCTGCCCTCTACCAAGTGCGCCACCGGGCCGGCCCAAAGATGGCCATTTTCTGGCTAAGGTCCCTTTCATTTCTACCTACCTGGGTTTTATAGTTTATAAAAGCTATAAAATCTTTTGGCTCTTCAGACCTACCGCCCAAATCATTTGGCATTTCAACTGAGGACAAAGAGAGAAGGCATCTATCTTCTCTTTCACCTGCATCTTTTGATATTGTATCCTATCCTGCTTTTCCAGTAGTGTTTCCACTTCCTGTTTTGGGTTAAGAAAAGATGCCAAAGTATTAGTTGGAACTGGGTGGCACTCATCTCCCCAATTCTAATCTATCTGATTTGAGGATGGCCTAGATGAATGCTTTTTGGAACTGTGAGAAGACTCTGATAAGTATCTCTTATGTTTCTTGTCTTTTTGTGACCAGAATAGGAAGAGGATGAAGAAGAAGAAAATGATTCATCAGGAGAAGAAACACTTGAAGAGGAAGTAGATTTTCTTCTTTTCTTTAGCCTTTTCTCCTCTTTTAAGATCTTATGCATTTTTCTGCACTTGTTTGTGTTTCCTTTGTTTTCTGCTTTTTTTAAATTTCTTCACCTTGTTTTTCTCTTAATTTCAAAGATTTCTACATATATTTATGAGGTTTTGCATCCTCTGAATCTGTAAAAGTCTCATCCAAAGCCAAAGCTTTCTTATAGTAACTTTCAGCATTTAAAAACGTTTCTTCTTCCTCTAACTGCCTTCTTTCTACAACTATCTGGCAGAGGTATTTTCTTGCATTCCTGTGAGTTGGACAGTTTTCTCATGCAAAGTCAAAATCTTCTATTGTTTTGTTCACAATCTGTAAAAGTCTCATCCAAAGCCAAAGCTTTCTTATAGTAACTTTCAGCATTTAAAAACTTTTCTTCTTCCTCTAACTGCCTTCTTTCTACAACTATCTGGCAGAGGTATTTTCTTGCATTCCTGTGAGTTGGACAGTTTTCTAATGCAAGGTCAAAATCTTCTATTGTTTTGTTCAGACTTCCTTTTGTTTCATATAATGCTCCCCAAACTACCAAAGCTTCCATATTTTGTTTGCCTGTTTCAGGAGCTTTATTGTATTCATTCATAGCATCCACATGGTGTCTAACCTTAAAATAATCAACTCCAATCTTCACACATTTTAAAGCCCAAGATGCAGATTGTTTCTTCCTTAGTGCAGAAGTAAAATCATCTTCAGAGAAATTTTTGTTTCATAGGCCTCTTACTGAAGATGTTGGTTTTAGATTAATCTATTTCTAGTTTATGTAAAAGGAATTCAACTACCCCTGGATTAACAAATCTCAAGCAACTCTGCATGATATTTTCATAGGACCCCAAAGAATTGCTGTTTAGTTCAGCACTCTTCCTGTGGTACAAAGGAAGCTCTTCAGAGCTAATTACACCTAATTTAATACCAGATGGGTGTGGTGGAAGAGTTGAACTATACAGAGATTCTGATAGCTTTTCATGGTATCTGTCAATCTCCTTGATTCCAGCTCAGATTATGTTACCACTTTGATAATACAATAAAGGATTCCCATGGTTACTGTGAGAAGGTGCATCTCTTAATGGACAAACAGCTGTGATTTCTAAGTGGAATGTATCTCTCATGATAACACTTTCTAAAATATCAACACCGTTAAAAAACTAAATTCTCAAATGGCATTAATTCTTCTGATCACTATATCACTATGCTCAATATCTGGGAAAAACAGCTCTCTCCAGCCCATACTAGGTATCTCCCTGAGTTGTCCTCAAGGTGGCATGACCACATAATGATCTTCATTGTCCTTCATCAACTCCAGAAGTTTCAGGTGCATCTGATTTTCAAGACAGCTCAAAAACTAGGTCTGCTTTTTTGGAGATGAAATTTTTGTAGTTCCATGTTGTCACCTCTCTTTTCTTTTTTGCCCTGTAACTACTGCTGGGGCAGTGGGCCCCAGGCAGGCTCAACCGCCTACTCCAGGAGGATTGTCCTGCTGTTCACTTGAGAGCAGGGAGAGCAATAACCACCAATGGCAACTAAGCGACTGCCACAGAAGGCACCAGTCCGTGACTAGAGATTTCTGGGCCAGACTGCTGGTGGGCTACTACCCAATCCCCCACCCCCTGATTCCCTTCCCACTACTCGAGCCCAGTGGTCCAGGGGGCTAGGAAACAGCCTGGAGACCACCAGAAGCACACAGCACAGTTCTTTGTGTGGCACGCATATTCTGAAAAATACCTTTTATCTATATTTTCACACTGATTTAAATTCTTTCTTTCTTTTGAATTACTAAAGAATTCACTGTCTTTAATAGTGCTTTTGAAATTTTTATCTTTCTGACTTTTGATTACTAAAGAATTCACTGTCTTTAATAGTGCTTTTGAAATTTTTATCTTTCTGAGAAATGTTTGAATTACTAAAGAATTCACTGTCTTTAATAGTGCTTTTGAAATTTTTATCTTTCTGAGAAATGTATCTTTGCAATTCTTGCACAGTTGCTCTCTGTGCCTAGATGAACCCTCTGATGAAGTTTATCTTAGAAGAGAATTAAGACCTCTTGGGACCCTTCATTTAAAGGGAGGAGAATGAAAAAAATGCAGTCAAGTTAAAGGACAAAACAGCCAGCCCCAGTGTGCAGAATTTTCAGGAGGAAGTTTTTCAATCAAATATGTCAAAATGTGTCCTAGAAGGTGG